TATGTCAGCTTTCGCTTTCTTTGTGAAAAGGAAGACCAAATTGAGTTTTGAATAGTTAATTCACTCAACGAACCAGACCGTATCTGACATTGGTGAAGAATCCTCCAAAAATTGTCTCCATAACAACGGAATAAATATAATCGATTAATCTTTGTCCGAAGCAAACCTCTCCTAAACAAAACGTGATAATTCGTCTTTAATATGTTATATGGCAATGAATAATCATTAAAAAATTCATATTTCCATGGAAACGAGTCTCAGATCTCTCACAAACTGTCCTTGTCCCTTCTAAGAATTTCATAAATATTCGCCTGTAACCTATTTAGGTTATCAATGACGAATCATTCATGAAATATGCTATTTTCCATGGCAACTGTGCCAGATCGCTAAAAAAGGTTTAATAGTGGAAAACGCGATCCCTCCTGCAAAATGCGACTTATCGAGCAATGATGAATCAATGACCAGTGGATCCAGTTCTCTTCCAAAATCTAATCAACTGGTGTTTATCAATGATTTGTGTCAATGAGGGGAACCTCTCCTGAGAATCATATGTGATGTTTTTAGTTATCTTGCAGACAGACAAACAACAAACCAATGCCGGCAAAACATGATATTGAATATTTTTGTTTTCTTACAGTTTGTGACGCATCCCAATACTCAACAGTTGCTGATTGAAAAATGGTTCAAAGGATTACCAAACTGGAGGGAACTAAGCGGCATGAAATCTTTCCTGTTCACCATCTTATTTGGACTATGCTTCCCGGTATTCTCGGTCGCTTATACAATCGCTCCGCAGCATAAATTTTCACATTTTTTGAAGATACCTTTCGTGAAATTTGTCTGTAATACTGCGTCCTCATTTGCGTTCCTGGTTCTTCTTGGCATGCAGACGATAGGTATCGACAGTGCCGTCGCTGGCGAGAATAAGCAAAATGAAGAGCGTTACGAAAAGTTACAACGAGAAAACCGTCCATCCGCTCTTACAGTGCAAGAATGGCTGATAGTTTTCTGGATCGTTGGTAAGTATTTATAGTACAGATTCAAAAAAAAATTTCATCTTAATAAGGATAGGAATAAAAAATAAAATAAAGTTCTCTTGGCAGAAAGTATTGCAGTAATCGTTCGAACAAGTCACGTGGCTGTCTTGCTCTTCACGATACCTCCTCGGCTACCTGCGAATAAGGTATATTTCTTACTTAGCAACTGAAGCCAATACTGTCGTCTGCTTCATTGTCTTAATTTCTGACTTAGCATACTGTCGTCTGCTTCATTGTCTTAATTTCTGACTTAGAAACTGAACCCAATACTGTCGTCTGCTTCATTGTCTTAATTTCTGACTTAGAAACTGAACCCAATACTGTCGTCTGCTTCATTGTCTTAATTTTTGACTTAGAAACCGAACCCAATACTGCCGTATGCTTCATTGTCTTAATTTCTGACTTAGAAACTAAACCCAATACTGTCGTCTGCTTCATTGTCTTAATTTCTGACTTAGAAACTGAACCCAATACTGTCGTCTGCTTCATTGTCTTAATTTCTGACTTAGAAACTGAACCCAATACTGTCGTCTGCTTCATCGTCTTAATTTCTGACTTAGAAACTGAACCAAATACTGTCGTCTGCTTCATTGTCTTAATTTCTGACTTAGCAACTGGAGCCAATACTGTCGTCTACTTCATTCTTTTAAGGTTGTAAATGTCACACGTTACACCACCACCTAGGCCACATGTATTAAAACGACTTACTGACGGAAATACGCCCCCACTAGAACGCAGGCATTCTTCGTAAATTTGTCTTACACCCTGTTTTCGTAATCGACCAGGTGCTCGTTCCAATTAGCGCTTATTTTAAATAAATAGGTTGTTGTCATACCTCACTATGACGCGTGCGCAACTGTGGCAATACTCTTTCACTTACCCATAAATTCCCTGTGTAGATTTTATGTTCACATGCAAAAAGCATTTTTCATGCGTGTAAAATACACTGTTTACTCAAAGTTTGACGACTATCACCCTTTAACTTGAAGCCAAAGAAATTGAAAAACCGAGGTAGCACGACTCAGTATACATTTTCTTCTTCCAGGAATGACTTGGGAGGAAATCGCAATAGTTTTGAAAAACGGGTCACGTGTCATCACAGACAATTTACAGATGAAAATATTGGACTATTCCACGTTGTTGCTGTTCTGGGGGTGGATAGGGTTACGATTTGCACTGTCAGTTCAGGTAATAACAGTGTTCACTTCTTTTCCAGGAGTCGTTCCAGTGTGTGTGGAATCCACTTTTACGAATAAAATATGTATTAGGGATGACGTCTATGTGTATTACTGCCGTTGGTGATTTGTTGAAATTGGCAAAAATAGTATCTTTCGTAATGACATTTGTTTTACATTAAGCGTTCATTCGTTATTATCACGAATTGTCATTGTACCATTAGACGTTCAATATCTTGTGGTATTTCGAGAAGCAGAATTGATATTCTTTCGAGCACATGGCTTGACAACTGATTTCCATTCTCAAACTATCATACCGCGTACTTTTCGGGCACGCAAAGCCTGATGACGTTTAACGCGAATATTGCCAGGTATAGTGTAAAATATCAATACGTCATCGCTGTAAATGATATGCACCATGGTCATGTGATAACAATAGCATTGATATAAACCGTTACTTCTCAGCCAGAATATTTCAATGTACTACACCCATGTATATGGGTACCCAAACTGAAAATAATTAAAAATAATAAACACTTCACCGTGGCGATACTTTATCGTAAACAGTTTTAGTAATAAAACATCACAATGAAGATAAATACATATATGAGTACGTGCCCCCGATTTACCTGTACCACAGTAGGGTTATACGTGTTAACTATTATTCCTACCAAAATACAACACAGAACAGAATAATTATTTAAACTTGCTCAAACATATGGTTAACCACTTTGCATCTTCAATAAATAATAAATGTGCTACTTTCAGCGCAACAAAAGTATTCTCTTCATATATATATAAATTTCAATGGTAGTTAAACCCAATCAGACAATCAACGAGAACAGTTAACAACAATTGTAAACAATCGACCAATAAAACCACTCGTTTCAGTTTAAATTGTGAAAATGTTAAAGTATGATGTTGCTGAGAGTATCCATAAGTATAGCACTTATTTAATTTCTTCTAGGTATTGGGAGGAACCAAAGAACCGTTGGTGGCTTCTGTGAACAACGGGACTCCTGTACTGGTCTACATCGATGACGGAGGCAACACTGGTGACGTCACGATCAAAATGTCAAATGGAACGATGTTGCCGGATTACATCACGACCGACCAAATGCTCACACAGATGACGCCACTTCCGTTCCAGAAAATTGAAATCTCGTACGCAGATATCATTTCTCGCGCTTTTTTCGCCGTCGCGAAAGTATTCAGCTTCATGCGCCTGATCCGAATTACGGTGGTGAACCAGCAGGTGGGCCCGATGCAAATCTCGCTAGGTCGTATGTTCCAGGATATTGCTAAGTTTATGATGATATTCTGTTTGGTATGGTTGGCGTTCTCCATTGGCTTGAATCAGTTGTACTGGTTCCACGCCCTCAAAGCAGAACTGCAGTGTAACATGGCGCACGTCGACGACTGTAAAGAAGTGTTCTCCACGTATGTATTCACTTAAATCATTTATAATTATCTCATATGAAAGAAAAAAAAGCTTAAAACACAGTATAGCTTATTACCAGGTACCTGTCATAGTCGCTATGATAACCAGGCTATTCAAAGAGTTGATCAGTATTACAGTTGATTTATAGTGATTTATAGCTGACGAAACAATTAATGTTATTTTTATTATCTTGTTATATATTTCTCTAAAATTATTAATTTATTATTATACATTTCATACACTTTTACTGTCCATACTTGAGTACTCGTTATATGTATTTCGTGAAACCATATCTGAAGTCATCTGAAATTTCACAATGATTTAGAGTTATAAATTGATCCGCATGTGCAAAGCCATCATCGATAAAATAGAGTTATGCTTACAAAGAACACTATAAAAACGATAGAACTCTGATGCAGGATAATACATGTACTTGTCACGGTCGTACATGTACTGATTTGAATAGGTCAGGTCAATAAGTGGCCATGATAATTGCACTAGCGCCCCCAATGTCGATACCAAAAAATAAGGAAAATCAAATCCGGACGCTAGAGGGCAATATGCACAAAGTGAAGGTTTTTCATTACTTTGAAATAAAATTGAAAAGTCTGCTCGAGTTAGAACGCTGTGATATTTAATTTAACTTGTATTCGTTGTATTGGGACTTCAATGACCAGTAAAATCAATGTACATGTATATAGGAGATTTCCAGAATAATTTGTCTTTGGTTTTCCCACACTTTTTCTTCAAAATAGTGCCACTAAAAATTAACCATTACTGCCCATGATCTGATTTGTCAACACAGCATGGGCACTACAATGAACACGCTTTTCTGGGCTATATTTGGAGTTACAAAACTGGACAGTCTTGAGATTTATGGAAATGACCGATGGTTCGTTGAGGGCGTAGGACAGACGTTATACGGAGCGTATCACGTGATTGGCATTATTGTGCTGCTGAATATACTAATTGCTATGATGACAAAAACGTACACAACCATCGAGGTAGATAAACCTTATACTCATTTCAGAGTGTTGGATGGGTGGAAAAGTCGGTCAGTTGGATTCATAGATGTGCCAACGAATTCACGCCATCACACGGCGTATTATGTGCATGAGACCACTTTCCCGGAAGTACCAAAACTGGGATGCAAAAACACTACTGCTTTGTCATGGCGGAAAATACAGACAAGTCAGTTTGCTGATAGTCGATATAAGGGAATTTCATTTTTGTTACGTCGATTGGAACACCCAGAAACACATATCACGCGTGAAAGTTTACGTTACACCCCAAAACGACATGCGCGCGCATGCGAAACGCCGACTTCCGGGAAAGTGGTCTGTGCGATAGATAATGGTCAGACTGGGTGTCATTTTAGAACTGGGTATACCTACATTCCCTTTCCCTTAACTTTAATATCTAATTTAAATAAATCAAATTTAACTTAGGCAAGCAACAAATGGGAAAAAAGTAATCTGTGTTTCAGACATCCTCTAAGACTACTCATACTACTATAACAACCTGTATGTATTTGAAAGCTTTAATAAAGGCGAATACGGTAGTGCATATGTCATACCAATGTTTATCTGACGACCAATTTTGCTGTTGTGTTTTTTTACTATTCTGACTATTGAATACATGGTTTATTTAATACCTCAATCACGCGAATGGCCTCCGAATCAGATTGCATTCCTACATGGGTTTTCAATGAGATATCGCAGTTATGCATATTAATGAGGTTGTTATGTCATTGTTTTATATGTCAGTCACATCTCTTGTCAAACTGCTTCAATATTGCTTGAGATATTACGCTTATGCATATTTAATAAGGTCACATGACTATATATGCTCATTTAATATGTTTATCAAATCTCTTGTCCAAAAGTTTCAACACTTTATTGGTTGAGTGTTCCTATCTGCAACAGTACTTGAGATATTACATTTATGCATATTAATGAGGTCACATGATCCTATATGTTCATCTGATATGATAGTCACATCTCTTGTCCAATAGCTTCAATATTGCACCAGTTTCATGTCCCTGTGCTTGAGATATTACAGTTACTCTAAAAATAGTCAGCAGACAATGTGTCAATGTTCTTTATGATTTATTGTTACACGATAATCTGGATGTAATTGAGTGCATACTTTCTTGAAATGTTACTTTCAATCTCATGCCAATAATGCTACGAAATGCATTATGGGCAATTACTGACGAAATAATTATGTTAATTTATTCACAGGAAGATGCCGACATTCAGTGGAAGTACTCTAGAGCTGAATTGTGGATGAGTTATTTCGGAGAGGGCGCTGCACTGCCACCGCCATTCAACTTGTTGCCTAGTAGACTTGGCGTTGAGGGCCTTATTCGTCGTTTTAAGCACGGGCTTTGTACCACTCCAGAGCACATCAAATTGGTGAGTAGTTCAAAAAAATCTTGTGAGATCAGCGCATGTCAAATCGGCTTTCAAATGGTTCTAAAACAAATGTGGAAGGTACTTACAAGAGTGTAACCCCAACCCCAACCCCAACACCGACCATCTGACCAATCAACGAGCAGCTTGTATATTTTTTTCAACGTATCAAATTCTGCATTGTGTATATGCTTCGACACACTTGCGAGAATACTTTTCTAGAATTTAAGTTCATATTTCACTTGCCGATAAGTTTATATATTTTTTTCAATATCACATATAAATATTTGAAAATAAATTACATTTTTTTTTTCAAAAACACTCTTGCAGCAACAACAATCCATGATAGAAACAAAAGTTAAGGAGTACGAGGTGAGTCCCCTCAGCTTTGATATAAACTGATTCAACGATTTAACCCGTTTAACGACACTCGTAAAGTCAATTTTGGCATTTTTTTTAAATTATCAATATAGGTAGCGAATAGAAAACTGTGTATATTTGGTTCATTGTGTATTACTTACATTAAAGCCGGACTCGGAGATTAAACGATCATTCTCGATTTCCTAAGCGATGTGCATGTCCATTTCCATTTTACAGGAGGTCATTCATGACGTAGTTCGACGATACCATTTTGAGAAGCAGCGTGACGAGGAAGAGGATGTTGACCCTTGGTTGGTTCAACTAAAACAAGACATCTCCGGATTCAAGTACGATATGTTCGAAGCACTCGGTGATATGGACAACAAGATCAACCACGTTCAGGCAAAGGTGGAGGACAGAGACGTGATTGAAAGCAGCGGGCCGGGAAGCGAAATGTTCCACCTTTTGGCGGATGCCGTGGCGTCAGAGCCACGTGATCGATACGCCGACTTGCTGTTCATTGACGATGAAGACGATGACGAAACCATTTACTCTATGTCAGATGTCCCGTCTCCTAGTACAACTACTGCCCTCAGTGTTAGCCGCGGAACGCTGGACAACCAAAGAGTCTGAATGTCTCGAATGTCTCAGCTTGATGCTTCACACTAAATCAACCAATCAGAGCTCGTGTTACACATTCTAGCGAGACGCCCTCTAATTGGTTGACAATCCTTTTCAGATGAGCAATGCATTTGGACAGTTTGAGTAGATGTGCGTCGGCGACTAGATGATCATACTTGAACAGAATCTTGCTATACGTGAATAGTCGAATAAACACGTTAATCACCATCTCTGCTCTCTGAATATATAACCATTGGCTATTAAACAAAGACTTACAAAACGTGAATGGAATAAACGCACTGAAAACATTTCTTGCTGAATAGGCTTTGAGGATGTAACTGTGATAAAAATATACATGTTGCATTCTGTTAAACCCGAATATACGAATATAGGCATATGAATTATATGAAGAGTAATAACGCAATCAACTTAATATTTATGCTGTAAAGTATTATTAGGGTATTTGTATTTTCTAACCTGGGTTTGATCTCTGTAGTTAACAAAGTTGTGAATAAAAATAGGATTGCATTGAAAACTGCCAAAAGCGTGTCGTTGATTTGTGTTGATTGGCAATATACGTACAATGTTTAACTATAGTGTATATCATACATAGATATGTAGTATTATCTCAATTTAAATAATTTTCTGATCAAAGTATCATATTCCTTAGATGATATTTGAATAGTGTGTGCCTTTCTGTTGGTTGTTGCTTTGTGTGCTACGGGATCTCAATGGCGCCGATATTCTTCGAGATATAATGGTAACACCCACCATTTTATGCATTATCTCAAATATTTTAGTTGGTTACATCTGCTCTTATTGTGTTCAGACCTTATCACTTCATCACGCCTGATTTCAAAATCTCGCACTATACACCTCATTTATACATCGCGCCCTCTAGTGGCGAAGCACTTCCGTGATGTAAACAGATGCAAAGAAAGCTGTTTACATCACGAAGGATTTTAAACTCATGACGGGTAGAAATTATCCTTATTTTAAGGAGTTATTAATAGTTTAACTTTATTGTGAACATATTGAATCCACATGTACGATCAAATCATACACGCAACTATTAGTACTTTAATGAGCGCGTTTGATTGGTTATCCTTGCACGACATCACGATCATTGATTCGGGGCTGATTGGCTTGAAGTAGTGGGCGTTGTCTAAGACCACCGTGATGGACCTACTGAAACAAGACGACGCCAAGAATAATACCGCTTGTTTTTGGGGGTAACTTATTTATAGATATTTTCGAAAGTAGGTATTGCACAACATCGAAAATGTACAGGCACTTTATACTCACCAAGAAAATGTAGTAAAATTTCCATAATTTGCAGTAATCGATTGTATTTTTCGTGTGATATCATTGGCTTGCAATCACATTTTCATATTGATTTCGCTTGCTAGTGTAATTTTAGTCTTAACTCAGGAAATAAAACACACACACACGCACGTATTTATTTTGTATAAGATTATATTTTGCTCTGCATTTGTATATGCGAAAATATCGAAACGGATTTCCTTAAGTTTTATTGGGTGACAGTTAAATAAACAGTTCATCAACAATATGAAATTTATGTAAACAATGCAGCATTGTAACATAAACATAATAAATAATAACAATAAATAAATAAATAATAAATAATAACAATAAATAATAAAATCAACTCAGAATTTTAGAGATTTCGAAAACAATCGTTCGTGAGGAAAGTTAGTTCAGATTTCTCAAGCTGAATACACACTTTTCATGTTGTCCCCAGATATATCTCGCAATGTATATACAAATACCTAATGTACTGCTTCATTTAACAGTGACCTGGTGGGTGATACCTACAACACAAAATAAAAAAAGCTGGTGTATTGAAATCTCTGCCAAAAACTTAGTAGTTTACCTGGGAGCGACAACCGATGTAAAGAACGATCGAAAACTCCGTACTTTGTTGAAACTATCCTGAACAGTGCAACAAAACCAGTCAACTGTCGCACAAGTGATAATAATGCGATCCGTGGGGGGGGGGGTAATATTAAGCCAACCGCTAACAAAATTCGGCCCGATTTTTGTGTTGAAAAATCCTTTGCATACGAACACCTAATTACACGAAGAACACATGGAACACTTTCCCGGGATATTTGAAACCGATTCGGTCATCTTATTGTAAGGTCTTCGCTGATTGGCTGCTGAGTTGGAATGACAATTTGTGATCTTATGCAAATTCAATTACGTAAGTCGCGAGGCTATTTAAAACGGCAACATCGCATTTTCAAATGATAGTTAAATCTAGACACTATAATATACATGTATTTACCACAACTGACCCCCGGGTGGCATTATATGACGGAGTATGCAATTGGTCGGCACTACGGTAAAAAGCGGTTCTCGGTTCTTCAGTACTACGACGATTCATTTGATAACCTCGACACACGTTTTACAGCGAGTTTAGCTGTCCCGCTTCCAGTAAGTGCACGAGTATTAGTTCTTACTGAGGAAAACTTTACCTAATGAATATTACACATTATTGTGACCTATATACGAATTATTTCCGGGAACAATTCAACTCAATGCAGCAGATGTGGTTAAAGTGTTGTCACCTATCGTCTGTTCAACGTCACCATAAAGAACGGTCAGTAGCGTATTACGTCATCAGTCGTTTGCATATTTATTGAGGGGCTTCAGAATGAATTGGGAATTGCATCATGTATTTTTGTCACGTTTCATTATAATAAGACCACACTATTGCAATACAGTAAAAACAACTTATGGGGGTCAATGGACAATTTTCAGAGTCTGAGATATATGTGGCATAGTATCGAAATAATAATATTCTATGCGCGATTAAAATAATATTGATACAATACGACGAATCACATGTGCGGATTAATATCGAACAGAATGCTGAAAATTAATTATTCACATTAATTTCCCTCCGTTATTGAGAGTATAGAATCGTAACCAAACAATTGTTATTAATTTTTCAGAGTTTCAGTATGATGCAAATTCCAATATGGTTCTTTATACTTGCTGGCTGCGTGTCAATTCTTCTTAGTATCGTCATTCTCGTGACGTGCATTTGTGGATATTTCAGAGTAGAGCCTTCCCCACCCGGTGACGTGGACGTCGTCATGGTGGCACGGGGAAGCGATCCCCCCGGCATGCCGCCTTCGTTTTTCCGAGACTGTCCGTCTAATGACAACCACCGGGAAGTCTCGTTAGAGGGTGTGAAGTTCAGTGATGGCAGTGATACTGGATTGCCGTTTGAAGATGAGATGAGGTTCAAACCGAAAACGCCGTATAGCGACAGAATAGTCTGTCTCTTTGCAATGGAGGATCCAATGCGAATATATGGAAAGATTGTCGGGTGTTCACATCATATGCCCAAGGCAATAACCAAGTGCATGAAGAAGATATTCCCATCGAGGCACACCGATAACGTTATCGTACGGAAGCCATACTTCCCTCTACCTATCGGAGATCCGCTCTCAATGTGAACTGTGTTCCTCCATATCACAGCTGTTAACCTAAAGATTGATGTATTTTGTAATTAACATAACCATGCTTTTCTGCACTGTCAATATTAATTAATTATTCGCACCAGACTCTGCTTAAACAAACTGCGAAATAACAAATCAGGGGTCTATATTAATTTGAATGAATATCAAATCATCAAAAAGACAGTTGTTATGGTGACAATCGGGGAATATTACGTAGAGTCTAAGGTGAAATTAACATGCTTACATGATGATTGGTTTTTCTTAGCTCCAGCTTCACCAGTCTTTTAAATTTCACATTGTACCCGCCATTTTTGAAAGGCGGAACCTGGATTGTATATTTAAGAGGCATAGTAATTACAGTATATACATTATATTATTCTCGACTTAATATTCATAAGTTCTAACCAACCTATTGTATAGATTGTATAGAGTAAATCATTATGCGAAAGGTAATGCTCATAGTACTGGTCGTTGTGTGTGGAGAGGGATGAGTCGAAGGTAGACTCGATTCGGGCGCCAGCCTGAGGTGAGTTGCGGTATATCTTGCCATGATTGAAATAAATATTGTTGGGACAGCATGCACACACTGGGTCAGTCGGAGGCGAGGCGAGAAGAGGCAGGGTACTAACTGGAATTCGTTAGGCCGTCGCTGATTGGCTGTTGAGCTGGAATGCCAATTTTTAGTTTTAAATACCCCCAGGAAAGTGTTCTCGGTTCTTCGCGTAATTAGGTGTTCGTATGCAAGGGATTTTTCCACACAAAAACGACGAATTAGGCCGAATGTTGTTATCGGTTGGCTTAATATAACCCCAACGGACCGTATTTTTGTGAAAGATTGGTATTTTTGTCCTGATTTGCAGGAATCTGAAAAACGCGTTTCACAACTTGTCTCTTATTTAGTTTTATGCGTCATTCAAGATGGCGGCGCCCATATAGTAAATATCATATTTATTTAATTATCACGTGTGCGCCAGCTGACTGTGACTCAGACAGTACGCCGTCGCACCGACCTCCGCTGCGCGTCAGTCGATACTTCCGCTGTATATATACCACATGCAACAAATACGGCACTCACATGATATCTGGGTCAGAAACAATAATGCCGAGCATTCATGTAGATTCAGATTTCCTAATACATGTATCTCCCCCGTTTGTATTGTTTTCGGGTGAATATTTCATTCGAATCTCCGCGTGTAACAGCCACAGAAAACAACACTCCTATTCATTTTATAAAGTTAGTCATTTATTGTAAAATCTAATGACATGGCAACTCGGACCTCATTTTTTAACACAGATCTTTCATATTTTACTCAAATTACCCAAAGATTTTATTCAGACTTAGAGTCTAACAACGTGTTATTAAACTGTAGTATCTTCTACTTTGAGTTTTACAGCTTTCACTTTTGTCAGTGGAAGGTAAGCATTGTATACGAAACAATATAAACTATAAAAATACGTTTTAAAAAAAATATATATATATTCGGGACATCAGGAAAACAAAGAAGACACATTTTTATTCGG